ATGTAGCAACTGCAAATGGTCTAGTAATTGCACTCTATAAAACCTATCCTTTAAGCAAGTGGTTACTAAGCTTCTAAGGTCTCGATATCTTTCAGTATTGGAATATAGTTTCAAGAAGCGATCTACGGAAACATCGCTTCTTTCTATTTTTGATGAATGGACATTATCACGTCATAAAGAGTTTGTTGATGTAGTATATTTTGATACTCTCGAAGCTTGAAAAAGTTCATAAGCTAGTACAAAAACAAAGGTTCTATGGGTTGCATCCGCTACTCTCTCATTGGACCAAATTTCATGAAAAGCAGGACATTTCAGGTCTTTGTAGATCGCTCAGTCATTATCGCGTCTAGTAAAAAATGAATTTCCACAAGGGGAGGTGCTGTACCCCATTTACACAGTCGATCTGCCCTCCTTTATTGCCAGTGAGGGTGTTCCATGCAGTATATCTGCTGATGACGTCAAAATAGGCATCCCCCGGCAAACATCTTGTTTTTGGAGTAAGCTTCAGAACACCACCAACAAGTTTGCTGTTTGGTCGATGCGTAACGGGTCATCCCTATCCTTGGGAATAACACGTAATGCGCTTAGTAAATCAAACTTGATTTCAAATTATACCCTCAATGACTAAGGTAGATTGTTGTGAAAGAGATTATGAGGATCTTATTACGATGCCACCCCAGATTTTAGTGCTCATCATAGGAATTATCAAAGGACTCCAAAAAACTTATAATCTCTTCAAAGCACTGCTGTCTACAAACGCCAACCTATTGCTAAAAGGAAACCATGTCCGTCTTGTATTAGAAATAACGAGTCTCCTTATGAAAAGGAGGACATATGCGCATCAGAAAATGTACAAAACACTTCACTAGAGAACTTTCGATGCACAAACATTTGTCCCACAAAAAAATCTCGCCTTATGTCCAAAGAAATAGAATTCTTGACAAGAAAAGGCTTTGGTGGAGAAGAACGCGCCTCCCTAACTGACATTCAAGTTAGTTGGGGGTTAAGTACATTCGAAAACCTATGAGTTTTCCTCTTTGGTTCCAAATCTAGCTCCTTTACAGCTTATACATAAAACCAAGTCTCGGGTTCAGTGTGTAATATAGGGTCCGCCAATAAGGGCGCGTGAACTTTAAAATTGAATAAAACAAGTTGTGTGTGAGGTAGAA